GCGGACACCGTGAGTTTCTCCCTGACTGGCCTCGACGGGCGAGCGCGTACCGAAATTACAATTGAATTGTCCGATGAACCCATAGAATTCGAACCGATGCATCTGAAAATAGCAGGCAATGCTCGTCTTACATACAAATACCGGTGTAGAGACATTACGAGAGCTGAAGTGATAATATACTTGTGGAATATACATACAGTGCTATATGAATTACCTGTACTCTCCGGAATCTTCTTCGAGAGCGTTTTCGATTATGAAAAGGGAGTCGTACTGAGAAGCTCTGTACAGAGGCTTGTTAGCCGCTCGCTGCCAGGTAATAGTCGGAGCTGGATTGCCCGAGACTTGGCACTCTAGTTCGATCCTATCACCTTCGTAATAATCAGTAGCGGCTGGTATGATCTGCACGATCGGCAGTGTCATTGGATTGCCTGCAAAAAAATTACAACTTATATATTGTTCAGGAAAGTTGTCGAGTTTCGTTTGTTAATAATGCGACACATAATTATACTTTAATATGAATACCTTTTGCGTAGAATACCCAATCAGGCACAACTATTCCATTAACGAATGCATTAAAATTGATATTCATTAATAAAACGAATACACGATTTGAAGATCATGAATAAAAACGTGATATTTTTCATGTATCAAAAACCAAACGTTAAGTCACCTGGTACTTTAAGTGTTGCTGTAGCTTGACCTGTAGATATACCATCGCTGGTCTGGCAGATGTACTGTCCACTATCCGTCACCTGCAGGTTCGTGATGAGGAGTTCTCCAGTTCGAGTATCGAGATAAGTTCTGTCCAATGGCAAGTACCCGTCAACCTTGGTCCAGTTTACTCGCAGCGTATTATGAGTGTACAGACTTTGAGCCTCGCATATAAATTTAACGGAGCTTCCCACTTCTTGGATTCTTATTAGTGGGTTTACAATCTTAATGGACACAGTCGACTGTGGCGGGGGCGGCAGCGTGGTTTCGTTCTTGTTTTCTCCACCTGTGAATATGTACACTGTTAGCTTTGCTAATAATTATTTTTTTAAGATGATCATGTCCTACTAATTAGCTTTTCAACGCTTTAATCAACTGACAAATGGTTGTTATTTTTAATCGAAGATATGTGTAACGTAAAAAAACTGAATCACAATAGGAACAATCGCAATAAACAAATAAATGTAACATTGATGACATCACAAGACACGCAACCCTGTTCATAACAAAATACAAAGCTTCCGTACTCCACTACATCAATAGAGCATAGTTCTATTATAACACTCAGTGGAATAAACTGTTGTTATTTTAAAGCTGAAGCATGACACAATTTGTTCGACGTTCACAATGTAACAAATATCCACAGCTTCTGTCTACCTTTCTCTGGCAAAGTCGTTGTCAATACCCCGAGAGTGAAACCCTTTTCTGTTACTGTATGACATTCGTATATTTCTCCTTGACGCCGCGTGTCCCAAACAGTTTGCCAACTGTGCTCGCCTCGCCAACCGTCGTCGAACAGCGCCGACTCATTGTAATATTTCACGGGTAGCATTTCTCTACCCTTAAAGTAAAACTTAATAGTCAACGGTTCCGGCGCTCTATATTTGCATGTGAACGTCACCCTCCGCATAAACGGGTTCAGGTCACTGCTGTCGCGGATTTTCGGATGGAGTTCCATGATCAAGCCTAAATAGTTATTCATATGTTATAAATGATATTATATATTTTTAAGTACTTTTAAATAATGAGCGAAAGTGTCTCACCGACGGTGGAGCAGTTGGGGCCCGTGTACGGCGGTCGGCAGTTGCATACGACCTC